CCCCCCCCCCCCCCCCCCCCCAATGCGGCCCCTCGACACTTTAGAGAGGCATGGATCGACACACAACATTGCTGGCGCAGTTATTGTTCTTTTTCCACTTTCATGTATGTTGGAAAAACAGGGCAATGTCTCCAAGGCCAAAATACGAGGATCTGTGCAGGTTTTTGAAGGCCGCGAGAAAGAAGGACAAGGAGAGGAAGAAATCCAAGGCTGAAAAGAAAAAGGATTCGAGAGAGCATCGCAGAAGCGGATCTAAAAATGCGAAAACGGAACGCACCAGCAGGCGAAAGCACAGATCAAAAGTTTCACTCCCATCAAGTCAGCGCGTTCTTTCAAAGCTTAAAGAACGCAATGAGTCCCCCCCTTCGACTCCCGCCCCATGGAGCCGTGCCAGCGGTGCCAAGAACCGTCCGCCCAGGGCCCCCGAGAAGAGGTCGCGGGAAGATGAAATCACAAAGGTGCACCGCAGGACAAAGAAGAGAATCTCCTACAAAAAGGACACAACGGTGGACATGATTGATCTGAGAGGGTCGGACGATATTCACAGCGGAGCCTGAGAGGAAGCAAAGGAGAAACACGACGACCCCTCATCGGAAAAGTCCGACAGGGAGGATGACAACGCGTCAAGGGACGAGGTCGACGACAGTGAGACCTCTCACGAACATCCTCGCGACACTGACGAGGCTGACGACGACGACGGCGGGAGTGACGACGGCACCGCGCACAAAGAGAGTGACGATGGGTCAGCCGAAGACGACAAAAGTGCATCTAGAAGAGCGAGTTCCCCGTCCCCGGGAGGAACACAACGCACGAGGGTCCCCGGGAGGAACACAACGCACGAGGGCAGCGCTGCCGACACGCCTTCCATTGGCAGACAAATAGTGAGGCACGCTAATACTGTTGGAAAAGGTAAACAAAGTCCGCTGCAGTTGCTGTCCTCGCCAAACGATTACATTCGGACTCGCAAAGTTCAGGCACATCGCTGAAGCAAGGATTTGACTTTGATGAACATGCGGTTGAAATGGACTGCCGAATATCGCTAGTGCTAAAATGTATCTGGACTGCCGAGTTTTGAAATATTGTTATGTGCGTTGTGATGTCTGTCTCCCAGCAGATGACACGAACTCGCAAACAAAAGTATGCGCGAATACTGGAGGACAACATCAAGTGAATGAAGAGTCTGGCGCATTCACAAAGAGAATGAGGGGCAGGCTGTTCCGCTCGGTCGCGAAAGCCTTTGCGTTCTCCGCAGCAAAGGACGCAACTTTGTACCCTACAGAGGATGCATTTTTCACATCGCTGCAAACCACGACCAAACTAGTGGGGGAGATTGCGGAGGAAGGACTCCGCTCACACGTAGCGTCCTGCGGGATTCAAGCAGTCATATGGGAGTGCAACAGAATGATGACGACCGTGCGTGGGGAAATAACATGGCAATTGAAACATTGGTTTTGGGCTGAAAAAGGGATCCCGCTTGTGCGGTCGCAGCAAACAGATCACCAACTCCCCACTCGCAACAAGATGCGAGCAGAGATGAAGGAAAATAAAACGTGGAGACGGAGCAACGATGATCCTTGGGGCGCCCCTGCCTTCAAGACGACACTCACCAAGGTTTTTCATATGAGGAGGG